AAATCGCTAAAATCGTACGAAGGTGTGATCCAATGCTTTCTCAACGCTAGCATGCGAGCTACTCTGGCCTGCACATTCAAGCAACGACAGAATGGTCAGTTTAACCCAGTGAATGCTAACGCTTTCCCATCCACGTCGCCAAATGTTGTTCGAAAGGCGAAGTGACACGGAAGTTTAGCCCGAGAGACGCTACGACGAAGAGTCCGTGCTTGCGGCGCACTTAGCACCTTCTTGTTAATGAGGTCAATAAGCCGAGTGTTACGTATGGTTGGGTCGAACAGCTTTAATCGGAAACAACCTGTCTCGTCACGAATAAAGCTGACTTGAAACTCGTGAAACGCGTGTTCCAACGGCTTGAAAAAGTATACGGGTATGCTGTTATTTTTTAAAAATTATTTATATTTTTCAGCTATTAAAAAAAAAACTAAACTATTATTTTAGTTTAGTTTTTTTTTTTTAGTATTATTCCGTTCCGCTTCGAGATCTGAAATCCGCAACATGCTCTCAGCCAAAAGTGCATTACTGCGACGGAATAAGTACGACGCTTCCACAACCGACCGAGGAAATGCTACATCGAGAAGCATGCAGCGCACGCGACGCTTCGACCGAAACCAATTGTAGAAATCGCACACGGATTTTTTGAACTCCATCTTTGTTCAGGTAGTGTTGCCGGTGCAGAGGTGAGCGCGTGAACCAAAAGCACATCGAGAAGGTCAAGCATTCGCTTGTTTATCGGCCTCTTTCCGGAATGCGTCGTCATGTAAGCTTCTTGATCTGCAATAACCGCCAAAATGTGAATGTCCTCTTGCTTCGGCTCGAAATTTTCTCCGAAGTACCGCACATCGTTGAGTCTGCACTCCGCGTTCATCTTCTCAAACCCACGTGGGAGACATTCGTCATCCAGCTCCACTGTTTCATACAAGCTCTCATCCAGCCAATCGTCTCCTGTTTTTGGCGATGAAGAGCTTGATATTGCGCACAGGGCCATCGAATCCCTCTGAGTCCTTGACTATGCGCTTGAAGTCGCTTACGGTGGTTGCTGTTGGGCGGAAGCGCCGAACTCGAGTCGTGACGCAAGCAGCGTCGACGACTAAGGCCTCTCCAAGATGACCCGAAGATGACCCGAGCAACAAGTTGCACGTCAAGTGTGGAGTCGCGCCATCTTGAAGGTTCGAGCTCAACTGGACGAAGAGGCTGGAGAACGAGTGCAAGGAGAGCGAGCACAAGGCGCAGAAGGAAAGCGTCCTGAGCAGTGCATGTACAGCAGTTAGTTTTTTTTTCGATCGCTCTCAATTTAATCACTTTTCATCTTACCTTCTCGAGCTCAAGCTCCTCCTCCACCTCTTCGACCGCCAACTTCCTCTGGGCCCAACTTTTAACAG